CAAGAAGACCGCAAAGGACAAGGACGGCAAGGACAAGGTGCGCCGCGATCTGGCTGTCGCGACTGCTTTCCTTACTGATACTGGTTGTTCCATACCACAGGCTCTCCTCGACGACCTGTCCGGCGATTACGTCGCCAGCGCGGAGGACTACGCCGCCATCCAGGAGAAGAAGCGCAAGGCCGCCGTCGGCCTCGCTCGCATCCCCCTCCCCAACGAGAATGTCAAGTTGGGTCTCTACAACAAGCGTCCCATCACCGGCTCCAACGTCGTCCGCATCTCCACCAACTTCGAGCAGTTCGGCGTCGCCGTGGAGCCTCAGAACTGCATCGAAGTTGTCACCGCCGACGCCGACGCCTGGCGTGCTCTCGGCATTCCGAAGGCGTGGCCCGCTCCCGACGTCGACCCAAAACAGGCTATCCCCGCCGTCGACAAGTTCCCCACCGTCCTCGAAGCGGTCACCGGTCAACATCGCATCGCCGCCATCGAGGAACTCCTCCGCAAGGCCGACGAGGAAGAGGTCCGCCCCAACGAAATCATTAACGCCCCTGACGACCACTCCGCCGACGACCTCGTCTGGGCAAAGCGCACACTCGCGTTCTGGCAGAAGCGCCGCGAGGAAGTCGCGTACTTCCCCATTATCATCTATGACAAGAGTACGTCCTCTCGTTTTCTCCTTTTCGCGATCGTCTCATCTCTCCGCGTTCGTTTAGAGCTCCTCGACAACGAAACCCTCTGGAAGATCGCTTCCAACGTCCGCCTCCCTAACCTCGCCGAAACCGAGAGCGAGGCCACCAAGAACACCCTCATCCGCGCCGGCGAAGCCATCTTCGATGGCAACGAAGACCAGTACCGCCGCATCCGCGTCCGCGCAGCTACCGCCGGCTCCAATCGCCAGTCCCTCCGACGCATCGCAAACACCTCCGACTACCTCCGCGCAACAGCCGAGCTCCTCTCCATCCCCACCCTCCGCTCCCTCGACCTCAAGTCCCTCGACTCCTTCCAGTGGCATCGCGAGGACGCCTTCCCCACCCCCTCCGCCGCATCCCGCACGCTCACATCCGTCGGCGGCGTACGTTCTTTCTTTTTCGCTCACCCGCGTCTCGCCCCCTGATCCTTTTTTTCCATAGTTTATGCTTTTCCACATGGAGGAGGCCTATCGCGCCCTATCCCTCCTCTGCTCAGGCCCCTCCTTCACTTTCGACTTCGCCCTCTCCAAGTCCCGCATCAAAGCCCATAAACTCCTCTTCGCCAACAAGAACAACACGCCCGAGTACCTCGACATCGTCGAGCAGCTCAACGACGTCTCCATGGTCTTCGCTCGCAGCTCCGTCGACTTCCACCACTTCTCCGTCGCTCTGCACGACACCCTCGACGAAGTCTTCCTCAGCACGTTCGGCAACCCCCCTCGCATCAACGACTTCGTCGCCGCCATCGGCGAATACTCGCCTCCCGTCGGCTCCTCCGCGCGCTCCCTCCAAGAGTCCTACCTCAAGAACGCCCTCGAGCGTCTCAAGAAGGGCGACTTCGCTCCTCCCGCCAAGGTCCCAAAATCCCAGTGGACCGACTCCTATCTCCTCCGCGCACGCTTGAGGGACCGCCTCGAGTGGCTCGTCTCACCCGACATCTACCGCCCCTTCTTCCCCATCGTCACTCGGTCCGTCCTCCTCGCCCTTCCTGACGTGTACAAGCGCATCAACACCATCCTCGTCGAGGTGCGTTTTTTTCTTTACGCCCCGTCTCCCGTCACTCATTTAAGCGCCCGTGCAGATTTGCACCTGGCTGGAACCTCTCATCATCGAAAACCTCTGGGTCGCGCTCAAGAAGGGCGAAAACAACTGGCGAGACGCGACCATGGCCCTTCGCCTCCGTCTCACCGTAGACTTCAACAAGGATATCGTTCCAAAGGTTCGTCTGTCTTCTCGTTTCTCGCTCGTACTATATACGTGTTGTCCTATCTGACTGTTATTCGCTTTTTTCTCCAGTTCTTCTGGTTCCTCCTCTCCCTCCGCTCCAAGGCCCTCGTCACCGCCGAGGACGCCCTCGTCCTCGATCGCAACATCATCTTCAGCCAGGTCCCCAAGAAGAACAAGGACTCCAGCCTCACCCCCCTCATCACCAACCTCGCGAAACACATCCAGAAGCCGACCGAGGTCGCCCGTCCCCCCAGCGTCTCCGACCTCGCCCTCCGCTTCGCCACTGGAACCATGTGGGGACGCTCCTTCGACGATCCCTCAAAGAAAGTCTCTCTCGATCTCGCCGAGTG